GCGCATAGCGTAAGTTAATTGAGGCGGGTATTGTAATAACTGATACAGTGGAACCCCGGCTTACGACCACCCCATTAATACGACCACCTCTTTATTACGGCCACTTTATTCTGGCCCAAGGAAAAGCTCAGTCAGTCATTTTCTTTTTCAAAAAACATCTTTAATACGACCACCCCGTTAATGCGACCAATTTTCCATGGCCCGAAGGTGGTCGTATTAACGGGGTTCAACTGTAATACATTAAGTCACAATAAAAAGAACGAATTAAATTAAATGAACAATCACAAAAGCAAGTACCGTACGATGAGTCGAGCTAATTATAATTAAGTAGGACTAATGATGCAAGGGATTGTAAAAAGACGGAGAAAGTTATAATAAATACAGTCATGAGATACAATAATTATGGGTATTCAGTATCAAGACTAAAGAATGGGCCTTGATTTTTGCCTTGGTTTTCTCGCATTTATCTCGACTTGTTAAGCGCACTATACTTGTGAGATGTATTTCAGCCATTTTGCCAGTCATCGAAGCGACTCAGCACTTGCAGCTGTGGTCTGATATCTTGATATCTACTGATATCTCAATACTTGCGGCTTGCGGCTGTGGCCTGACATCTGAAATCCGGGGTGACGACACTTACAACTGAATTTTCTCTGAAGCAATGTATAAGCTAATTTAACCTGTTTTTTTTTTTTTTTTTTTTTGAAATAGTTTATACACCCTTTGTTTCTTTTAAGGGATATATTTAATAAGAATATGGAAGTTGAAATTTGCAGAATTTTAAGAATATTTTAAGAATAAACCCAAGGCTGAGATTTTCATTAAAAAGAATATAATCTTGTGTGTTGAAAATTTGTAAATAGGATACAATTACATGATTTTCGACTAAACCGTATAAAATTCTTCCTTTCTCTAAACGGCAAAGCTAGCCGAAAGACAACAAAAAGAGCACTAGCCGTATAACATTTCTGCCGCCATGTGTGTCAGGCTCAGGCCTTGTGGCCTGTAATTTGCGGTTTCAAAATTACTTCAACGCCATCAAAGTCATGATAGGACAGATAATCTGACGTCGTGTTGGCATAGTTCACTTTGTATTAATATTGCTAGAACCTAAGAATATTCACAAAAATATTTTCAGCCTAGAATCGGCAGAAAAATAAAAATATTCAACCTGGGCCAGAAAATAATATCCTTAAAAAGGGTGTAACATTGATAAAGGCCACATGGCTTTTAACTATAATTAACTACTTTCGATCAAACTTGTTTTCTTTTCGCGTTAGCCCTACCCCATAGAGATGAATATTGATTTCATGCGTGTGTGAAATAAGTGATCTGAACAATAAAAAACACTTTCCAAAGTTTATTGGAGGTAACACCTGTTGAGAGGGAAATTGGTTAAAAATCAATGAAACGACAAAAGAATTGTCACGCAAAAGAACAATTGCGAGTTAGAATTTTCTTATCTCGAGCTTCTGCACTCAGGTGCTAAAAGAGCTTATAACAGAGAATTCATAACTTCACTTCACTTTTAGCCATAACTCCCTGGAGGTATTTAGCCGAAAATTCTTCTTCGCCATGTCACTCGGTCACTTGAAAGCACTGCTGCCCCGCCCCACGACGTAAAACCATAGGCTGGAGTTGCTCTCAGCTTTTACTAAGTTGTTGTGGATTTACAATTGTCAACTTATACCAACAACTTTGATCGACCAGAGCTGAATTTGTAAAGAAAGGTTTTTGGATCCAGCTAAACTTGTTCTGTCTTCCTCTGGTGTTTCCCCTAGACGATTCGAGGTTTCTCTTCAACTCAGGGTTACTCGAAATAAATCAATGTTTGATTGCGAGTTTTCCTTTGTTTTAGAACCGTTAATAGCAAGTTGACACAGTAATGAAACCTACACGGTCATTAGCATTAGTAATAAACGAAAACGTTCTGGAACTTGAGCCTTAAAAGACGCCGATAAACTTGCACTGACAGGTATGTAGCGGATTTAATGTTCTTTTGTTCATGTAGTCCGGGTGGTTGAGCAGCCTTTGAGTTCTTCAATTACCCCCAGGCGTGAAATAAAATAAAAAAGAAAAGCAACACCTTTTTTACAAATTTACCTGCCAGACGGGTAGACTACTCATTTTGACGAAAAGTAATATAAGAGTAAGCAAGCAGTCTTGGCCAAAAGATCTCTTTAACTCTTACTAACATCAGTACCAGAGCAAGACAGTTTAGGTAAGTAGACAAGAACTTAAAGTTGATAGAACTTTGCAGTCCTCAAATCCCGTGAATTTTCTTCTCTTTTTTTCTCTTAAAGTAGCTATCTCACGATTTGAGCATCTTAAAAGGTTTAGTCTTAACTTTTCAAGCGTTGTTTGTAATCCGTGTTAATCTTCTCAGTTAACCATCCTTGTTCCTTTATGGTTTATTATTATCCGTTTGGTGTTTTTCTCTCTTAGTAAGCAACTATGTTCGGGTTTCCTTTAATTTGAAGGTACAGTGGACCCCCTCCTTACGACCACTCCGTTAATACGACCACCTCGTTATTACGGCCACTTTATTCTGGCCCAAAGAAAAGCTCAGTCAGTCATTTTCGTATTTAAAAAAAACCCTTTAATACGACCACCCCGTTAATGCGACCAATTTTTCGTGACCCGAAGGTGGTCGTATTAACGGGGTTCCACTGTAATTTTGTTCTTGGCCAAAATACCGTGACAGAGCCTTGTATTTCCTGGTTTAACGTTGACTTCAAAGCTCCTAGAATTTGCTTGTAACATGTTATTACATGTCTCATCACATGTCTACAAGACAATGCAGTAGCACTGTATGGAGAATTTTGATATTGATATTTCGATTGATACCCAGTGATATTTCTGTCAGCGTGCCATAATAACAGTATCAGCATTAGACAAGAGACGTATATCATCGTCTCTTGCATTGGAACCGTCTATACCAATGTTATCAGTGCCCTGACTTATTATAATGAGATAAAAGTACTCTTTGAAAAATAAGGCGTTTAATCCGGGATTTGCTGCAAGTAGTTTTCCTGAACTGCCAGTGTACATAATACCACAGGTTATTTTCGGTTATTCCTTGAAAAATCTTTGAGGGTCTTGATGGGGGCAGTACTGAGGCACTAGAATCTCATTTATCAATTAAATTTTTGGCGATCACTTGCAATCAGTTTAAGTTTCACCCCATTTCTGAGCTCTCCGTAAATTTCGCTGTAGTCAAATCTCAGGTCCCGTCCTCATTACACCGGAGAAATTCAGTGAAAACGCAACAATCACCGTTCATTTTGGATTTGCGTTTAAGGAAATCTCGGGCAGCCAAATCACATGATTATCGTTACCTCACTCGTTTTCGAAAAGCTCCGTTTTAAAAATGTCTTCCGTCCACACTAAAACTGAAAACGCAAAGCCGACGTTAATTGAAGAGCCGTTTTTGAAAAGCTCCGTTTTCGTGACGGATTAGTGTAGACGGTAGGCCTAACCGTAGAAATAAAGCTGCGTTTTACAAATTTCTCCCTTGTAGCGCGGACGGGGCCTCAGCTATCAATGAAAAAAGTGTTACTCATGCAGGGAAAACTGTTGGCATGACAGTTCATTCCGGCCGCTAATTAGCTAAACTCAATCCGCCTTAATCTTGTCGCTGATTCGACCTTCTACATCGCTTTTTGCTTTCTAAGTATAGCTTTTCGTTTCTGTTAAGTTTCAAGCCTTTAATAATTTAATTTTAAGACCATTATTTAATTCGTATGTCAGGGCACGGCCCTTCAGATGTAAAACTAAATAACTTGGTTCAAAAGTGGTGTTAGAAACTGAAAACTAAAAGATAAATACTTGAACTAGGAGAGATATTTTTGCCAAAGGTAGTTCAAACTTTTTAATCTGTGGGTCAGTGAAACCCTAGTGTGTGGCCATTCAGATGAAAGCTATTCAGCAGTACTATCATGTGGTACTGTTTACTACGCTGTTCAATGAGGTTCTATAGCATTGCTTTAGTCTTGTGGGTCAAACCTTATGCTGACTATAGACCTTATGTAACTGTTCAACAGAACGCTATCAACCGAGTCCAGTCAGGTTTGTTTTTCAACATGTTGCCAAATCAATTTAGAGATGCTTTACTCAGTTTTACACGAACACTTAGCACGTCCAGGCTTGGCCATGCAGAAGATAAATATTAGCGCAATCCATTAAATTATTTGTAAACATAAAGTAAATTTACACACGTGCCATGAAATAAGATAGCAACATCGGAAGTATCGTATTGTGTATGTGTCGTAGATATCCGGCGATATCAGAGCTTCGGGAAAAGTCTTGTAACCTTTCTAAACTTCCTGTTAAATTCCTAGGCGTACGTACGAGAATTAAACTGAAGGGTAAAAATTTGGAAATATGAATTCATCTTACAAAAAAAAAAAACCGGTCAAACGAGTTCCTGGAAGCTTCACCGGATCAGAAAAAGTTGCCAAAAATAGGTTGGTGACGGTTTGAACTAGTCCGTGCAGCATAGCATTAACTCTTGAATATGTCATTTCTTATAAAATAAAACAAAATTTTAAGTTAGGACTCTTTTATTATGACACATGGGAAGACGGTGGGTTTTGGAAGTTATCTTACATGAAGGAGAGCTATGCATTTATCAGAGATGCCTGTACTAATTAACTTCATAAACAAACTGTTGTGCATTGTGGAAGTAACTAAAATGATAAAAATATGGGATGTTTATATGTAATTTATAAACACTTTAAGCTTGTTTTCTAGCTGGGAAACTTTATATCACCGTATTTAACCTCACGGCCTAGCGGAAGTACATCGGGTCACGTCCGACGCCATGCACCAGTAAATGAGGAAATTTTATATAGGCCACACTATTCTTATGCGGTCAGGCGATATCGATCTAAAAAGCCTTACTGCATACTTTGTATAGCGTGGCGGAAACGTAGTCAATAAGCGTGGGGTTTTGAAAACTATCTTACAGGCAAGTAAGTACCAGGTTTTTTAAGGTACGGGTGCCCTGTCTGTTGATTCACCGTCGTGAAATGTTTTGAGCTAATTGGCGCGAAACTCTAACTTAGTTTGTTTGTAAATACCGCGCGTAGACGGGTGGTCTCTTGTACGTGCTCAACGACGAAGGAAAACTTTCAGTAAGGCAAAAGAAATTTTCCAGCAAGTGATCAAACTATGTCCATTCTACCATCTGGATGACGACCTGCAAAAAAGAAGCTTATTTATTATGCCGTAAGAGAAAACCGCTCGCAATTCTATGTCCCGACGAGCTCAATCGACTGCATAACTAACTATACACGCTGATTCATCATTTCACTGCATGCTTTCATTAAGTGTCGCCCTTTTTTATTATTTCAGACACAACTGACACTCGTGTGTTTAAATTTGTTACTTTTGTCTCTTATCCAGCAGTTAAGTTAAATGCTTAAACACGAATTAAGCATCAAAGGTACAGTTTAATGATGTAATAATTTGCATCGCTCACAGCTTCCCTGCGGGAATACCGCCTCTGCTAAAACACTATTGTCACGGTTATCTTTTATTCATGGCATGAAACAAAAGGCTTAAGTTAAAAACTGTATTTTAATTCCAGGTGCCTTTAGTTAATCAGTGAAGCAAGAAACTTGGCTGTGTTGAAGACGTGCAACACTCAAAGGGAATCATATAGTTGTCAGTTTACTACAGAGATGTCAGGTGAGGCGCCTCGAGCAAGAAGTTTGATGACTGTATAGTTGTCAGTAAAGTAATTAAGAATTATCTGACTTTAGCAATCACGCCATCTGTTGAACACAGCAAGGTGATTTTTCAATTCTTTCGGCCAAGTTTATGCATGAGTCTGCAGAGAATGGGGATACTAGCTGTAATCTCGGCAATCAGTTAACTGAATCTCGAGGATTTCTTACCTATCAGAGAAAATGTTCACCCATTCAAGGCAAGTGCGGAAATATTTTGTAGAACTCATCTATCAGCACTAAGTTAAACAGAACGCCTTATTTCTCAGCTGACACGGTTAAATTTTGACAAATTTCTCAGCTCTCAGGTAAACCCTTTCTGATCCTGTAAAACTAACTCACCTCCACTCCAGCATTACAAATGGCAGTTTGATCATTACTATCGAAATTACACTCATCGACACAATAAAACTCACACCAGCTGCTTGAACCTGAGGGCTATGACTGAGAAAAAAAACACATAGCTATGTACTTGCTTTTACGAAACGGTTTTTGACGTTCAATGACAAATATTAACCTCAGCAGTACTCTCGAACTCTTGAGAACTTTGAACAACAGAGAAGAAATTGAAGTTGTTGTAGACCTTAGTGTTTCGTGGCACAAAGTTTCCATTACTAAGTTAAGACTTCGTTATGTTAGCTAAGGTCGATGGATCTGAAAATAGCGTATTGTCGCTAATCTACGAAGAATTATAGGGAAATTGAAAGCTGTAACTTCTTAGTCAGCTGGTACACTTACGTAAATTGTAGATTAAATTCAGTCATGTGCTGCCGGATCTAAACCGCAATCACGCGCTTCTGGATAGTGCAGTCCTCAAGAAGGTCCACAGAACACGAGTCTCACAATTAGTGATTTAAGTCCACGTACTGTAACTAGCTTTTTACAGCATAAGTACTGGTTGTTGCCGTGTGGTTGAACTGTTCACTTGTTCGAGTAGTCTACTGCAAAAGGAACCAATTTTGCAAACTATTTCTCGATCGAACCTACCAATTTGTTACAAGTCGAACCGACTCGAACTTCAGAACTGATTTGTTTCGTGATTGTAAATTTACCCTCGATATCTCGAACTTTCAAGTTATCGAAGCAATTTTCATTTCCATTGGAGGTTTTAGATAGCTTTCAATTATCCGCTGGAAACAAGCTCAGAAACTCATCTATTTAGAAAGCATCTATTTTTTTCTTGCGTGATCACTTTAATTCTCCGGCTGTTTCTCTCTAGACTTTTTGGCTTTTCCTTCAAATTCAATATACTGACGAGGGACCGACAAAATTGATTTTTGGCTTCCAAGACGGTCTAGATTCGAAATGAATTGATATTTTCAGGGACGGTCTCTGGCTTTCCAATTTAGCCCGAGTGCATAGGGGTTTGGCATTATTCGGAATAACTACAGGACAATTTTATAAAGTTTTGTTATGTTTTTTAAAACAAACCACAATCTTAGACTGTGGTTTTACAAATGCTTTTAGTAGCAGCTTATACTGCAATGCAGGTTTAGGAATTGCGCTTCATTCCAAATGTCGATAAACATCAATTGATACATTGATACATTGACAAGCAGACAAGGGTGGCGAAACACGAAAATCATCGCTATTGGAAAGGCTCAATGTCAGTTTAAGCTCAGCCTCATTGAGATAAGAAGCTATCATGAAATTGTAAATCATTATACAGTGCAAAATTACTTCCAAATTAGAGGAAATCTTAAAACATAGTTTTTAAGGTGGGTAAACAGCAAATTAAAGAAGAGATAACAAAGCGAGAATAAACAAGGGTAATTACGAGTATTAAGAATTAAGACAGGTTACGAACACAAAGGTTAAAAAATTGCCATTTTGTTAAATACCTCGTTTAAGATTGTGTTGAGTAAGGCTTTTGCAGGTATTTAAAAACCCCATTTCACACAATTGAGACAAAGATTGCTCATCCTAACATATCCATTTGCATTCTACTAGTCATATTAAACTATGGATAATTGGGTTCAAAGTTCCACAACGTGTTAAAGTACTCACATTGTCCAAGAAATAAGGAAAATTGTTCAACCAGGAGGCGTTATTTTCATGCACCACCAGCTAATTCTGGCGCAGAACTACTATCGTTGCAGCTTAAGGGGAATGGAACTTTCGAGCTGGAGAAAGTTTAATCAGTGGCAGTTTGAAAAAGTAAATTTTTACCTGCATGCCTGGTTAAAGTTACTGAGCTTTATTCTAAAAGTTTGGCGCATTTGGGAGTCACTTTGAGATGAGTAAGGCATGGGTTCACAATAAAAAACCGTAAACTTGTGTATTTTTGCTTTGCACTCTCGATAAAAGAAACAAAAAAAAAACAAGGTAAAAAAATATATATATATCACTATTCAGAAACGAGTATTTGCTTCAGTTTTCCAAGACTGTAATTTGTTTTTTCTCTTAAGTTTGCGTAAGACTCGTGGCACAAATGTTCCCTTCATTGTAATTTTCTATCGACCTTTATTTGCGTGAAATTCATCCCTACCAAAAACCATGAGGCGCTCGCGACCATGTGGCTCGAAATACCTGCTACACGTGGAAAAGCCATTATCTGTGTACAATAAACGTTAGGTGCCAAGGAGTTGTAGACTAGAAGCCTGCACTCAAAGTATACGGTATCGTTGGACGAATAATGGAAGACATCGTTACAAAAATTAAAGTGCACCTAACCCCAAAAATTTTTTTTCGCTAAAACGAATCCACTTGTTATTCGAAGCATTTTGGGCGAAAAAAATTTTTGAATTTGGTTGAATCCTCGATTTTCTATGCCCTTTCAAAGTCGCGCCTGAAGTGTTACGACCGCGTTTTAGGGAGTCTGGGGCGGCGGTTGCTGATGACGTCTACCTGGAACCAAACACAATGGCGCCTCAGTCAGCTCTCTGTATTTGCTCGAGAGAATGGAGAACCTGATCGTTCCAATATATCTTGGGACTAAAACGTCCAAGTTTCGTTCCAGAATCATTTCTTTTTCGTCACTGGAGTCAGAGTTAGGTTTCAATTCGGAAGACACCGAAATAAACTTCGATCGAGCACGTTCGACAACCGTGAACTCACTGCTTAGAGCTTTGAGAACAATTTGCAATATTTCAAGCGACGACGGGGAAGACTTCTTTGCGGACAAGCTGTTTGTATATTAGGAATGGAAAGCTAGATACGAAGTAGAGGAGCAGGCAAACGAAAAGCAGGTATGAAAACTCAAGGACTGCTTTGGATGGTAATTTCGTCACCTAAATGTATGTTGTCATGGTATGGTTGTTCTGTTAAATCCAGTTTGTGTTTTACTTTCTGGAATGCTTCATGTTAATAGGAGCGACGTAAGTGTTGCAGTTTTCGAGACTTGATGACCTCCAAAGGACTGGCTTCGATCGATTGAAAATCGTAGAATTGTTTGGACCTGTATTTTTGAAGCTGCGGGAAGCAAGGCGAAATTGGGAAGGAAACATTTCATACTATTACCGATTTCACACGTTTTAAGTCTTAACTCCAAATAACCAGTGTAAATTTTTTTCAAAGTTTGCAGTGAAATTCGTCGGATAAGCAAAAAGGATGTGTTCCCTGAGCGGTCCGCAGACATGAATGTTACGCGGTCATATTTTCGACACTATTGCATAGAATGTTTGTCGCACTGCCGATTTCCAAACCTTCGAAACACTCTGTGAGTGTAACAGTTTTGTTATCATGTAATTCCAAAGGATTAATCTTCGACTTTTATCTAAATCGAAAGAAAAATAAGTGTTGGTTGGCGGCGTACAGTTGCGACCTATTTACATATCAGTATATTTGGTCGTAACGCTTCTTGATTGATCACTCAACTTTGCCGGCTATTTTACAAATACTGCGGGACTGGAAGATATAGGTTGTCGGTAGT